CAGAGCCTGATGCGGGGCTCGAACTCACGGACCGCGAGATCGTGACCTGAGCCGAAGTCGGTGCCCAACCAACTGTGCCACCCAGCCACCCCTAGATGGCTATCATTCTAATACAATAGTGCTTCATTTTCTGTAACACAGATTTTGAGTTTCTTATCCTGTCCTTTCTACATGTTCTCAGCATGAGGCATCATGACCATTTCATCATTTTCCTTGTTTTTTAAAGAACATCTATAATCTGCCTTCCTTTTATCTCTGAGAGGGTTGTTATTTCATTCACTGCAGTATTCTGCTCTGTAAATGAGGTTCTTTGAGCGATGAGGCTGCTACTCTAATACCAGTTTGTTTTCTTTGAGGTTTGATGTTTTTCTTAGGGCTTTTGCCATCTGTAGGGAAAAAACCCTCAGTTCTTAGGTTTTGTTACTATCATGTGTTTGGTGGTCTCATTAGCAATGACTGTGACATCAGGTCAGCCGGCCTTCTGAGAGCTCTGAATGTGTATTTAGAAAAAGTGTAACTCCAGAATTACAATTACAAAATTTGAATAACCAAATAGACTTTTATAAGGTGAATTTTACATGCAGTATAAAATTAACAAATGCTGTTGTATTTCTCTGAATCTAAGATGCCATCAATGTTTTTTAAGACTCCTCTGTTTTAGAGAGGGAGACAAACCATAAGAGAAGAGACTGTTAAATACAGAGAACAAATGGAGGGTTGCTGGAGGGAGGAGGTGGGGGGATGGGCTAAATGGGTGATGGGCATTAAGGAGGGCGCTTGTTGGGATGAGCACTGGGTGTCATATGTAAGAGATGAATCACTGGGTCCTATTCCTGAAACCAAGATGATGCTGTATGTCAACTAACTTGAAAATAATACTAATAAAAAAAGACTCTTCCATTTTAGAAATATTTTAAAAGTGAAAAAAACAAATAGATTGATTGAAATACAGGAGAAAAAGACCTAGGACAGTATCTGGCATAGAGATTTTGAACATGCTCCTTCTCTTTTTGGAGTATAGCCACTTGGCTCAAGTCAATTTAGTTTAAATGTTTTGTTTTCTTTTACTTTATCTTCAAATAAGAATGGTAAAAGTAGAAGGACCTTAAGTATCATCAGTCTGGCCTTCATTTTACAAGTGAGGAAATTGGTGCTCAGTCACGCTAGGTGGCTAAGCCAAGGTCATATACTGATCAAGTGATGGTAGGTCTTTGCTGCTCCAAAGCCCAGTGGGAGAAGATGCTTAAAGAATCAGCCGTCAAGTCTACCAAGATTCTAGAGCACTTTCTGAGTACCAGGCACTGCAGGAGGCCCGGCGTTTCCATTTCAAAGGCAGCAGGAAGGGGCAGCAACAGCCTGGGCAGGAGTCAGGCAGGCTGGCTTCCCACCAATTCTGTGTCAGAGCTCTGTGACCTTGAAAGGCGCTCACTGTTTCTAGACGTACTTGCTTTTCCTGCCAAGGTGTTGAGCTACCCAACGATGAGACTATTTTTATATGAGGTTCTTGGAATCATTCTTTTATAGTTAACAGCTCGTAATTTGTTTTTACTTAAATAAAACATAAGTTTCTTTTCTCTCTTTTATTTTGGAAAGCATCAGACTTAACAGAAAAGTTGCAAAATAGCACAAAGATTTCCTTGTATCCCTTCATCTAGGTTTTCCGAAGGCTAACGTTTTACCACACTTGCTTTATCATTCTTCCAATGTATAAATATTTCTCCTGAAACGTAGAAGAGTAAGGTACAGACATGATGTCTCTTTACCTGTGTAATAGGCCGGTGTACATTTCCCCAAAACACAAACATTTTCCTACATAACCAACTTCACGTTCAAAAGCATGAAGGAACATGGATACGGCACTAAAATATACAAACGTTATTCACATTTCATCAATTGTCCTATTCTTTATAGAAAAAGAAAACTGCCCACCCATGCCCCCCACCCCCACCCCATGTGCCCGTCCCACACACCCCCTGCCACTTTCCTGGTCCAACATCACATAATGCATTTAGTTGTCAAATTACTTTACTCTCCTTTAATCTGGAGCAAAATAAATTCCTTAACTTTTATTTTTAAATGACCTTGACATTTTAAAAGAGTAGAAAATTCCTCACTGGATTTTTCTGTTTCTTTATGACTTGATTGAGGTTATGCATATAGGGCAGGAATACCACACAAATAGTACGTTATTTCAGGAGGAGCATGATGTCTGTTTATCCCCTTACTGGTGACATTAACTTTGATCACGTGGTTAGAGTGGTAGTTCCAGATTCTCTCCTGGAAAGTTACTGGTCTTGTTACAAAAAATACGGATTTTGTGGAGAGATACTTTAAGTACCCTGCTTCTCAGCACACTTTGCCCCACTCCTTTTAGCATTCGATTCTTGCCTGAAACAGTCTTTCTTGTTTCCTTGCCCTAGATTGTGTTCACTTAGACCTCTCCACATACCCTCAGGAGTGGAAGAACTCGTCATTCTTCAGACTGGAATTTTATCGGTAAATACCTTTTTAAGTCTCACTTCCCAGGAGACAGGGATGGGGAGAGCAGAGTAGGATAGTAAGACTATGATAATTTATATCTTGTAATATTTTTTTATTCAGGCTCTTACAAGTTGAAATTTCCTTTCACCTCAAAGGCATTGACCTACAGACGATTCATTCCCGAGAGTTACCGGACTGTTACGTTTTTCATAATACGGCAAGTGTCTGTCTTTCTGAAGCTGGTTTTTATTATTTTTTCTCTATTCCTGTTGTAGATGCCAAGTGTAAAACACACCAGCCTGTATACATGTGTAGAGGCAGTGGTGTTTAAAACAGCTTAATGACACTTTCTAGCATTGCTGATCCAGAGACCATGATTTTGGAAAATGAAGCAAGCCCTTTCCAGCCTTTTAAAGCCAGATTTCTGGGCTGGAAAGAGGAATTTTCAAAATTGGCTTTGACCTCTTACTCCCCTAATACATTAGAAAAAAAGTTTATGACAAGTGTTTTAAGTGTCTAGGATGTTTTTCCTATTTTCAAAGGAAGGTCTTTGCAACTATTGTAGCGAATGTTTTCAAACCTCAAGGCAGAAACTGCCCCCTTGATCTGAGGGCCAGTCTGCAAAGGCTTAGCTGTTGCTTCTTTTATTTTGGGAGAAGGTATGTGCAGTAGAAGAGAATGTGTTCGTATCTATGAGAATAACTTGCCTCCCCATTTCATGGGTTTCATGCTTTCTCTCCCTCCTTCCCTCCCTCCTTCCCTTCCTCCCTACCCCCTTTATCGTGGGACAAAACTGAATGCTGAGCTGACAGTTGTTTGTGACACCCTTATAGCAATTCAGAGGAGTGCTCCATTCAACAACAATCAGTAGATACATAATGAGTCCCTCCTACGCACCAGGCATTGCCCTGCTGAAGAGGTGCAGTGGCCCTCAGGAAGCTTACAGTCTAGTGGAAGAGATAGACCGGAAAACAAATAAACAAAGAGATAAAAGTAATTATAAGTCTTGAGATGTGGTGAGGAAGAATGTCTCTGGCAGAGAAGAGCATGATTAAGCTCCCTGGGGTGACTTACACATTACAAAACACATTACAAAATCCCCAAAAATCCTCAGGCCAAGAGCTCACAGGGCTGAATGTGTAGGTGATCTGTAATTAAATCCCCAAGTGCCTGCACATCTCTACACATAAGCCACGTTCTATGTAATCCAAGAATATCACTCGGACCAAACCAGAGGCTGGAGAATTAAACCTGCAGGCCCCATTTCAGTCCCTATGAGCTGTGAGCACACCTCTGCTAAGCCTGGCACACACGGGGCCTCATTCTCCCATAGGAAAGCCCCCAACGTACTTCTCTCAAGCCTTAAGATACTCACAGCACGTATCGCTTGTAAACCAAATGACAGAAACATAATGTGGAAGATTGAGGGCATTTGGAAATCTTAAATTCAGCCTGGAGCTTGGGAGCAGTCTGTCACCTCTGAAAGCATTATACGTAGCATTTGAAGCAAACAGAAAAATAGTTTCCAACCCTAGCAAAGACCTAGAATTTCATACCCAAAGGAATAAGTTGAAGCCAATGCTTTTAAATTCCATTCAGTATCATAAATGAGATAATTGTATTCTCTTGTCAAAGACTGGTGAATCTTGTTTTTGTTCCTGGGACTAATGGTTGTTGTTTTGCTCCAAGATTTCTCTGAACCTGAATACGACTCAGTACGATGGATTCAGTAGATTCCACGTATTTACCCTTTGGATCATATTCTTTCATTAATAATAGAAACTTGTGGGGCGCCTGGGTGGCTCAGTTGGTTAAGCATCTGACTTTGGCTCGGGTCATGATCTCACGGCTTGTGAGTTCGAGCCCTGTGTCGGGCTCTGTGCTGACAGCTCAGAGCCTGGAGCCTGCTTTGGATTCTGTGTTTCCTTTTCTCTCTGCCCCTCCCCTGCTCATGCTCTGTCTCTGTGTTAAAAGTAAGTAAACATAAAAAAAATTAAAAAAAAAAAAAAAAAGAAACTTGTGAAGGAATCACATGATGAGAACAGTTTCATCAGTACTATTTTTTTTTTATTTAAAAAAAAATTTTTTTAATGTTTATTTTTGGGAGACAGACAGAATGGGGGAGGGGCAGAGAGAGAGGGAGACACAGCATCCAAAGCAGCCTCCAGACTCTGAGCCGGTCAGCACAGAGCCCCACGCGGGACTCGAACCCACGAAGCACAGGATCATGACCTGGGCCGAAGTTGGACGCTCAACTGACTGAGCCACCCAGGCACCCCAGAATTATTTTTGAATCAGCATGCTGTTCGGATGCCAGTGATATTTGAAGCAGAGTTTATCTAGTATACCATACTTTCCGCTGGGCGGTAACCTTTCCATACATTTGTGTCTCCAGATTACCTTTGACAATAAAGCTCACAGTGGCAAGATCAAAATCTATTTTGGCAGTGATGCTAAAATTGAAGAATGTAAAGACTTGAACATATCCGGATCTAGTAAGTATGTCCCATGCTTGCCCGTTGTGAATTATGGATGATCTTTGACACTCATTTTGGGATTCAGGATGTTTAAATGCTTTATTTGGATGGCTATAGGAAGAAAGAGCTCCCGAAAATTATCAAGCATTTAACTCTATACAGAATATCCTAAAGCCTTGCCTTTTTGTTCAGTTCCAGTAGATGTTGATTGATTACACACCTTAAGAGAGAAGGGGTTCCCGGTCATTAGGATCACTGTTTCTGGGGCCAGACAGCCTGGGTTTGGGTCTTGGTTCTGTTCGTTATGCCTGTGATCTTGGACAAATCACTTAACCTCTCTATTTCTAAGTACCTTTCTCTATAAAATGAGGGTGATGATAGTGTCTGCCTTCCAGGATGCTGAGTATTCAGTGGGTTCATATGTCAAGGAAAGCACCGAAAACAAGAGTTGGCACATAGTGGTTGCTGGGCACTATGGAAAAAGGAAGAAAACGCCTTAGTGAGTGAGATCGACCGGCTTGTAGAATCTCTGATGTGTCACGAATAGGAATAAGTGGTGGAGGTGAAAAGGGATGGGGATAAAGAAAGCAAAGGTTAACTTTGGGGGCAGAGGGAGAAAATCTACCAGTGATGGTTGGGGAGGTTATACTTGGAGCTGAACCTTTGACAGCAGGGAAGGATCAAGGCCCTCGGAGCTCAGAGAGCAGCCTGTCCAAACATTGGGGGGTTTACTCGGTGGTTACTCAGAAAACATGTCTTCGTCCGTAATGTAAAGTGGACTCTGTGGAACTTCTCACAGAGGGGTCAGGATGGTGTTGATGGATTGTCAGTATTTTTTCACTTACAAGTTTCGTTGAACTGCGTTTGCCTCAGACAGGATTGTCAGGACAACATAAAATGTGAAATGCCCATGGTTTTTAACTCTTTTAGTTTTGTTTTAATCTAGATTTGTCTGTGGGCCTGTTGCTTTTTCAGTTTTACGATCCATCTTAAGGATTCTGAAGGTTGGGTTTCAGTATTTCCATTAACTGACTCAAGGTTTTAGTCCGCGTAGACAGTTTTAGTTTCTTTCTGTTTGAAAGCGGTTCCTCTTTCCCAGCACACACGCTGCCTCCCACAGAGACACACGCAGATCAGATGCCTAGTCCGGTATAGGTTCAGCTATTTTATGTGAGAAAAGCTAACTTTTGTCACGAATGAAATGTGGTTTGGAACAGTCATTATGACTGAAGCGTTAGTCAGTCAAACGTGTTTCCTTCCTCCCCACAGGGCTGCTAGATGTCGGGGAGTTTTCCTTGCCTATTACTCAAAAGGGAAGAGTTCTGGCTCCCTTCTGTGGCCAGTGAAGAGAAATACTAACCTCACAGACCCCTTAGTAGGAATACTGACATCTGAGTTTCTCCCAGAGCTGTGTCTTTTGAAGAAACCAGATTCTGTTACTAGGAGAATATGAATTTAAAATAAAATGATGTGACATGAAACCCTTAAAAAGTTGAAGTTTGGAAACCAGCTGAGAAAGTGGATCCCCACCCCCCCCCCCCCCCCCCCCCCCCACCTTTGTCTATGGAAACTGTCTGCCCTGGCTTTGGGGGATGTGGGACAAAGGCAAGGGTGACATCTAGTGGAATCTTGGTGTTATTTTCCGAAAGTTCTGAGGCTCCTTCGTGTCCATTCACTTATTCTGAGGCTTTTCTCTTCCTCTTGTCATTACCTGTGTTACCACAGGGCAAAATAACGAGGGGTTGTCCATTTTCACATAGAAACCTCAGGTTGCCTTTTATGACTTCGAATACTTGTCCCCAAGTTTGCCACCAATCTTCACTTTAACTGGATTTTATAAACTTAGCAAGTCAGGCATGAGGGGCTGGAGGAGGTAGGTATTAGTGGGCAAGGTTCCCCACTGATGGGTGATTTCCCAAGTGTTTCAGGGAAAGGGGGTGTGGTAAATAGGGGAAGCCCTGGGTGAGAGCGGCAGTGTGTGCAAGACTGACTCCTTAGGACCTCTGGGAGGACTGGGTGGGGTGTAGGACTTCCCCAACCAGGTTGGCAAGGGCATCCCTCTGGATTAGTGTTCTATAAACCAAGTTTGACAAATGTTCCTGTGGGGGTAACAGATTCACTGGAGTAAGAAAGCACTTGTGATGTTCATAAATAACTTTTTGTAACATGCCAACTAGTTTTCTCAATAGGTGAAATTAAAACAGAATATGAGAGAGAGCGAAACCAAGAAACAGACTCTTAACGATATAGAACACACTGATGGTTAGCAGAGGGAGGTGGAATAGGTGATGGGGATTACAGAGCGCACTTGTGATAAGCACAGGGTGATGTACGGAAGTGTTCTATATTGTGTACCTGAAACTAATGGAACACTGTATGTTGACTAACTGGATTTAAAATGAAAACTTAAAAAAATAAAAAAATTTAAAAAGGTGTCTGAAGTTAGTATGACAAGAACAAACAAACAATATAATACTGGTTTCTGTGTTAGGAAGGATGCTTTATCCTTCTAGATCTGGGCCTCCATTTTCCTATTTATAAATAAGGCCCAGTATAAGAAATCATAGAGATTTTGTTCTAGTTGTATGTCAGAAAGGAAGGTATGAGATGCTCTCCTTGCATTTCATAAGGCTTTCAGTCCCATATTCCCAAGAACTGTACCTATTTCCTCCATCTTATTCCATGGCCCAGATAGATAGATAGATAGATAGATAGATAGATAGATAGATAGCCCTGATAGATAGATAGATAGATAGATAGATAGATAGATAGACAGACAGACAGACAGACAGACAGGCAGGCAGGCACATAGAAAGATAGGTAAATGATAGAAAAAGAAAGAAAGAAAGAAAAGAAAGAAGGAAAGAAAGAAAAGAAGAAAGAAAAAGATACAAAGAAAAATATAGCTAGATAGATACATACTTATGTACATACATAGAAAGATAGATTGATACACAGATACATAGAAAGATAGGCAGGTAGATACATAGATAGATTAGGTAGGTATGTAGAAAGAATGATACATAGATAAAAAGATACATAGGAAGAGAAAAAAGAAGAAAGGAGGAAATAGATACATAGATACGTAGAAATACACACAGATAGAAAGATACATAGATAATAGAAAGAAAGATGGAAAGGAAGGAAGAAAGAAAAAGTCTGTCTTCGGTTCCAGTTAAGTTGTTTTCTTATCTACTCATTAGATGTTATCACAAGATAATTTAAGCTTCTTCACTATAAAACGGCTGAAAGTAAATGTAAGTGCTAGGTGCTAGGTACCATTGCAGCAAGCACTGGGCATAAGTGATCTCACCTGATTTCCTGACAGCCCATGAGGCAGGCCCAGCTGCTCCCCCTACTGCAGTGGAGGCATCTAAAGCTCAGCACGCCTCGATAATTCAGTCAGTGAATTGCACTTACTCGCTGCCTATGCCCTTAACGCACAGGATGAGCTGTTTGCCCTCAGACACTCTTGCCATTGTTGCTCACGCCCTTGCATTACTAAATCCATACACACTTGGTCTTTTTGTTAGATGCCTTTTCTGCAGAGGTGTCGCTGTGGAGTGCTCCGATTTATAATCCCCTCTGAGCACGCCACTGAAGTTCACCTGCCCTCAGTCCCATTCCCTTGTCCCATGGCCCTTCTCAGTCTACTTTTTGAGCTCATCTCTTCATAATGCCCCACCTTGCTGCCCCCCGCCCCCCCGCCCTGTCCTTCCTAGTTGTGTTTTCCTCTGTGGTCTCTCTCAGTGGCTATGTTCACACCCGTGGCTTTAGCTGCCACCAAGTTTTCCTCTCTCGTCACGAATGTCCAGACTGAGCTCAGCTCACCAAGACAGAAAAACCAGAGTCATTCCTGGATGGTCCTTCTCTCTTCTTGCTTAGGTCCCTCTGGAGACCAGGTTGACTCTTGGTCTCTCACAGCTCTGTGCCTTCTCCTCTCCCTCAGCCCTTCACAGGTTCTAACTTGGATTATTCAGTAGTCTTCTCATGTTGTGCCAGTGCTCTCCATTTATTCATAAACACACTGAGGCATTAAGAAAGCACAGACACTGTAGTGTTGAACAAACACATACAGTCCCCACTTCCTAGAGTCAATCATTTAGTGGGGAAGGTAGGCATCAAATGATACACAACAAGAAGCACTATGAATGCGTGCTGTTGTTTGCCTGGGACTGTTCCAAGTGCTTTCATATATGAGCTTGTTTAATCTTCACAACAGCCCTATGATGTAGAGTTTTTTTTTTATTATTATTATTCTACCTATTTTGAGGTGGGGGGGGGGCAGTGACAAAGGATGAGGACCCTGAAGGACCTTCCCCAAGGCTTCACAGCCTCTGAGTGCAGAGCTGAGGTTCAGAGCCAGCTCATCAGGCTCCAGAGACTGTGTCTTTCCTTTTTTGCACTGTCCCTGTGTTCCTTGCTGTGTGTGCCATCTTAGAAGACATCATTACGGGTTCAGTGGCCATCACACAAAGAAGAATGAAAGGAGCTATGAGTATGTATACTTGTGGAGAGTGCTGTGAGAATATAGGAGGGGCTAATAAAGATGGGAATTTAGGGAATTCTCTTCCCTAAATATTTAATCTGAAATGTTTAATATTTAATCAGAAACCCAAGGCTGAAAAAGAATAATTTGACTTGTATGGTGTGCTCCAGGCAGAGGGATCAGCACTTGAGAAGTCCCTGAGGCAAGAGGGCCAGCAAATCTGGTAGGAGCAGGGACAGAGGAAGAACAGTGTCGCATCAAGCTAGAGAAGGTGGGGAAGAGCACCGAGGGGCAGGTGACGAAGCTGCAGGCATGGGCAGGGGGCCAGGCATTTGGAATGCTACCATCAGGTCTCCGAGAAGCAGAGGTTACAGGTACATCTTCCTCCAGTACATTCCCCCATGCTACTGTGTAGTCTGCGACCACAATTTGATTACTGCTGTGATTCCATTCCAAGAGGTGGTTTTCTCCATGTGCAGAAGAACTGGGACAGTACATAGTACACAGTAAGGTCAAGAAACAGAAGGGGGGGTTCTGGGGGCACCTGGTTGGCTCAGTCAGTGTAGTGCCCAACTTTGGCTCAGGTCATGATCTCACACACAGTTCGTGAGTTCAAGCCCCATGCCGGGCTCTGTGTTGACAGCTCAGAGCCTGGAGCCTGCTTTGGATTCTGTGTCTCCCTCTCTTTGTGTCCCTCCTCCACTTGCACTCTGTTTCTTTCTCTCTCTCTCTCAAAAGCAAATGCACATTAAAAAGAAAGGAAATGGGGATTCTGAGGAGCAGTGTTTTGAATTGTTCCTTCATTAACGGAAAATTGGATATTTGTGTTTTTATGAAAAAGAACCAGTTTTGCCTCTGTTGAATAGAGCCCAAATGGACCACCTTCTGTTGAGTTCTATTCTATAGGAAATATTTTTAGTACATTTAGCAAAGAGTTTATGTTTTTAAATGTATAACTTAACATCAGAGAATGTTTTACCCTATTTAAAGACTTCTAAATGAATGCAGTGTGATTTGTTTCTGATATTTAAGCATTTATCATTTGAACTTTTCAGACTGCCATTTTGTTTGAGAATTATTCCCAAGTAAGGTGTGTTTAACATTTGAATTCTGTTTTTGTTCCTCAGTTCAGAAAAACACCCAGTACGTGCTGGCGTTTGATGCATTTGTCATTGTGATATGCTTGGCATCTCTTATTCTGTGCACAAGATCCATTGTTCTAGCTCTAAGGTTACGAAAGGTAAGTGTGTGTTCAAATGTTCTCTCTCCCTTCTAGGCCTCCATCCTGTTTGTTCAGACAGTGGACAGTTGATGTTGGGTCATCCTGCCCTTTTTGGAGCTCTTGACTAAATTAGATTCCTTTGAACGACTGTCCCCCTACAAGGCATTAATCAACCTGAGGTGTGCAGGGTGGGTAAGGCTCCTGGCATGTCAGGTGGGATCAGATAATTATCCTGCTTAAAACTGAGCTGCTAAGCATAGGTGCACAGTGGTGAACTCTGAGGCTTTTGAATGTTTCCAGAATAAACAAGACCCTCTTAAATTCAGGCGTGATCTTAAGAACAGAGTAATAGCATGTGTGGGTTTCATCTTTTGTCTTCAAATCAGAGTTCCATTTGACAGGGAGGCATGGTAAATGGGTTATAATGAAGCACAGAATACTTTTTTCTATTTTTAAAAATAGTTTATTCTCTCCTGAGTTTCATTTTACCTTTTTACCCTCAGAGTTCTTGTGAATACATACTTCAGCTCCCCACAAATCTTATTCTGTCTTGTTGTATGTGTGTAAATGCAGACTGGGGTCAGGGGTAATACAGGAAGTCATCACTTGTGGATACCATCTGTGGAGCAAGAAAATAGTGTACGATCTATTTTTCTTACTCTTTTTTAAAAAATGTTTATTTATTTTTGAGAGAGAGAGAGAGAGAAATGAACAGGGGAGGGGCAAAGAGAGAGGGAGACACAGAATCTGAAGAAGGCTCCAGGCTCTGAGCTGTCAGCCCAAGCCTGATGTGGGGCTTGAACTCATGAACTGTGAGATCACGACCTGAGCCAAAGTTGGGCACTGAACCAACTGAGCCACCTGGGCACCCCTATTTTTCTTACTCTTGACCTTTGTCAACTTATTTTGTAAATAATCTGCTTCTCTTACCTGTCCCCCAAGCCTCTTGATAATCTCCATCGGAGGTCATGGTCCTGGGTCTGCCGAAGTTAGGGGGCACCATTGGGAGTCATGATTGACTCCCACCGTTGGGACTACACACTCTGGAACCAGGCTGCCCAGACCCAAATCCTGCCTAGCCTTCCCATGCCTCAGTTTCTTCTTCTGAAAATAGACCAGATTCGTAGGGGAGTCAGATTGAATGAGTTGATAACGTGTAAAATATTGAGAATGTACTATGCGGTAGCAATTATGACAAGAGTCTCTTGGTGTTAGAACATAAGCACTTGATGTTTGAGTTAACTTAGCAGGTACTAGAATGCTTACTTACTTTTAGCTGCAATAGATTATGGGGGAAAGTGGGCCGTAATCCCCACCCTCAAAGAGGATCTGTCAGGTTGGGAAAGGTAATGCCATATCATTTTACAGGCGAGAGCACTGTTTTGCGCTTGTCTTCTCCTTCCAGAGGGCAGTGTGGTTTGTAAGAAATGCTTTTTAAAATGTTTGCCGCAGAGATTTCTCAATTTCTTCCTGGAGAAGTACAAGCGACACGTGTGTAACGCCGACCAGTGGGAGTTCATCAATGGATGGTATATCCTGGTGATTATCAGCGACCTAATGACAATAATCGGATCCATATTAAAAATGGAAATTAAAGCAAAGGTGAGGGCAACCCATTTTAATGTTCTGCTCTTTCTTTTCTTCTGGGGGACCCCCGGCACGTTGAGATATAAAATCCTCATGGAGACTACTTTGAGTCTGATGTTTCCTCTCTTCTCACATCCATAAAACCATCTCACATCAGATGCCTGGGTTATTTCCTCTGACTTGATTCCTCATCAAGGGAAACTAAGGAAACTGTTGTTCTGTGAAAGACGATATCCCTAGGAATATCCCCCAGGAAACTCAGCATCTTCACAATAGGAACTGAGAAAATTGGCTGTTTGGGTGCGCTTCATTTTTCTTTTTTTCTTTTTAAGTTGCAGAAGAAGCAGCTGGCCCATGAACCAATCATGGCAAGAGCCAGTGGCGACTATCCATGACTGATGGGTGCGCTTGGAGGGGAGTGAGACAGGAATACTGAGTGACCACTAGGCACCTGACACCTTCTTGTTGTTAGTTGATTTAATCCCATGACTACATCTTGACCCCCCCTTCATCTGGCTCTTCTCCCCTCCTTACTGTCAGTCAGCAGATGCTGACCACCTGAAGTGCCTCCCTCCTCTCCACCCTGACTACTCTGGCTTCCTTCACGATATCTTCCTCTCAGGCCTATACTACTATAGCATATTCCTTTTTTTTTTTTTTTAATGTTTATTTATTTATTTGGGGGTGGGGAGGGGCAGAGAGAGGAGCGGGAGAGGATCCCAAGCAGGCCTCGCACTGTCAGCACGGAGCCTGACGGGGGTCGCGAACTCAAGAACTGTGAGATCATGACATGATCTGAAATCAAAAGTTGGATGCTCAACCAACTGAGCCACCCAGGCACCCCACAACAGTCTTCTCATTGGTTTTCCTGCCTTCCTCCTTATATTCCTCAGATCCATCCACCCCACTGTCAAACTAATTTGTCCAGAAGTGTCTAAATCCTCTCTGCCTCTCAGGGCCCCAACTGGGATGCAGTGTCCTCCTTTCAGCATGGTGTCTGGGGAACCCATCATCTCGCTCTGCCTCCCTCCCTGTCCTAGGTCTCCTGGACCCATCAGTGGTCGTCTCTAGGACATCCTGCTGGCTCTTGGCCCGTGCCTCTGTTCAGCCTTTGTCCATTGACCTGCAGTGTCCTCTCTCAACCTGCCCTCCAGGCCCAGCTCCATTCTGGAGTCACCCTCTGGAGAGCCCTGTGTGACATGCCAGGCATTGTGGCTCTCTTTGCACTTAGTATATTAAATTAGAACTGTGTTTGTGTGTTTGTCTCCTCAATTAGACTTAAAAGCCCTTGAGAGAAAGAACTGGGTTAGCAAATCATGTTGGAGCTTTCTTTCAAAAATAGGTGAATGGTATTGTTTGGTATTTAACAAACACCATTACTTTATACTCTTTAATGCCTAGGTCAGTAGTAAAGGCAGTTACTATTTCCAGATACTGTTTGAACAAAAACTCAGTTCAACCAACTCAAATACTAAAAGGAAATGAGAAACACATTTGGAATTGTGCTCTTTTCTTCTTCAGTTTGCGGGCTCTTAGTATCACATATAGAGAGGCAGTCAGTCCATTCTTTTCCAGTCAGTTTAAAGTGAGGTTAATACCCCGAACGGAGTGGAGTGTTTTACTCATGTCTATTTTTTTCATTCTTTAGAATCTCACCAATTACGACCTGTGCAGCATTTTGCTCGGAACGTCTACGCTCTTTGTCTGGGTTGGCGTCATCAGATACCTGGGTTACTTCCAAGCATATAATGTAAGGATGTGGCATCGGGTAGGGCACTAGGATTGAGACTCATTCCTTCTTTGGGTGCCAGTCAGCTACTTTTAAATTCCCTCCTGTTGGTTTTTATTTCAGGTGCTCATTTTAACGATGCAAGCCTCACTGCCCAAAGTTCTTCGCTTCTGTGCTTGTGCTGGTATGATCTACTTGGGCTACACGTTCTGTGGCTGGATTGTTTTAGGACCTTATCACGACAAGGTGTGTAGCACTAATCCTTGCTTCTATGAATTAAGCACTTGGGACTCTTACAAGTGGGTCCCAGCACTGCCCTGCTTTCTACCCAGCACTGGCACGTACCCTCGACCTCAGTGAGACCTGTCTTTGCATTGGCTTTCTTTCCCTTTCCAGGATACTGAATATTTCCAGGATATCAAAGCAAGCACTATAACTGTAACTAGAGAGTGCATTTCCCTTGTCTGGGCTTCAGGAGGCACATATTAACCCAGCTGATCATCAAATGAGAAATATTTGGACGTGAGGTCACTACAGTAAAAATGAAAAGTAAATGAGGAAAGTTGTTACAATATCCTTCTAACTTAAAGCAGTAAGGTTTTCGTCCAGATTCATTGAGGAGAATGAAGGTGGACAAAGACTGCCCAGAATGACCCTGTTAGGTTTATGATTAAAATGATAACACATCTTGTCTTTGTAGGTGGTTTTGATTACAGTGTTCTCTTTGTGCCTTATTAAAGATCAGTATCTGAATTCTAAACTAACACTGGGCTTCACTCAGTAGCAGCAGCATCGTAGGGACATCAAAGTTATGTTCAGATGTTCTTTTAGAACAGTACATTTGATAGATGCCTCAGGAAATGAAATTAGGTAGGCCTTGATTTCATACCAAAATAAGTAAGAGGAATCATTGCATCTTATAGTTTTTCTTCCATGGGTCTCTGGCAGTTGGAACAACAGAAACAACACAATGAAAAATAATAGGCAGCTATTACTTGATGCTTGTGTGTCAGGTACTGTGCTAAGCATTTCTGTCTCCTCTTGTTTGGTCTCTACAGCCCAGGCTACAGGTTTCTTGGCTTAGTGCAGAGGATTGTGTTAAAGCGTATAGAACAGCTCAGCCTTCAGTTTTGACCTTGGTAGTCGCATGAAACAAAACATATGATCAAATCTGGTTCGCAAACTACTCACAAAAAGCGAGCGGTCCACAAAGCGCCAACTTCCTGTGTTAGCATACTAATGTAAATCCTAGCAACTTGACACACAGGCAAGCTTTCTCCTCTTTAAGTGTTACATTTAATATGTCCAGGGAGAATGACTGTTTTCCCTTTTGAGAAACTGTGTAATTAACAAAGTGACAATCCCTGGGTTAATAGTAAATCTTGATAATATTATTGCTCTTCCAATTCCATGCCACTGCTTTAAAGGTGACTCATGAGTAAAAATTGTAGTTTAATACAATCTCTCAGATCTGGAGTACTTACTATTTAGCGCTCAGGAAAATTTACGTTTCTCTTTCTCACTTACGTCCTGCTCTGGATGCTTATCAACATTCTTGTCACTAGGGGGCAGTGTTGTACTGTGCGGAATAAATACTGAGCCTAAGAATTTCTGCTTCAATTCACTGGTTTCAAGGCCTCAGGATGAGTGGTTCTTTCTCCTTTGCCCTCCATTTCCTCTACCCCATCATTACTCTGGAAGATGCTTAGATAATGTTGCTTGGATTTTACTAAAATAGCTACCATTCCCAAGCATTATATGTTAGATAGATATAGTGCTCAAGTTCTTTACCTCTTGCTGTCAACCCACCCAGCAGCCCTGTAGGGGAAATATTACATTTCTTTTACCTAAAATCAGGATCTTAAGATGTTAGATAGTTTTCCCGAGGTTACACAGCTAGTAAATGGCAGAGAGGATTCACACCCAGGTTTGTGTGACCCCAATCCACCTGCTTTGACCAATGCCCTGTAGGGCTTTTCTTGGTATTGTCTAAAACAGATCATTACAAAAGAGCATTTGGTTTGACCCATGAATAGATCAACTGTGAGAGGAGAGCTACTTAATCAGTCTTACTTCCCTCAATGTGTCAAGATTACCTTGAAGAGAATGATGTTATTTGTTTTGTGAGTCTGAGTGTGTTTTCCTATGTTTGGTTCTGTCCTTTTAAAGAATCCAGGTGAGAGTGGGATTCTCTGGACTAGCACTGTTCAGTAAAAATATGAGAGCTCCAAATGAGAGCCACATGTGTATTTCCAAATTTCCTAGTAACCACAGTAAAAAAAAACAAACAAACACAAAACAGATGAATTGATTTTAATTATATATTTAATCCAATATATGCCAGAGATTACTTTAGCATGTACTCAATATAAAACATTGAGATATTTTATACTCCTTTTTTTTTTTTTCTATACTTTGAAATCTGGTGTGTATTTTATCCTGACAGCACATCTCAGTTTGGACCAACTGTATATCAGGTGCTCGGTGGTCACATGTAGCTAATGTCTGCCATATTGTACCTTGCACCTCTTGACTTGTATCTCCCTGTTAATGTCTGCTGTCCGTTTCTCCCCCAGAGGACCAGAGGGATGAGGGTTGTCTCTAGGGTTGCATAGCAGGTCTGTTTATGGCATCTATCTTTCATCTCTAGCCAGACTGATACATTGGGGAAACGGATAGTTGCATTAACTCAGTGAAGGCATTAGTCAGTGGAGGGCGAAACCTTCAGTGGTTCTGGAATTTTGCATTTTCCTTCTCTATTTTGCTGCTGCTTCTTTGAATCTGAAGTTCAAAATGTTTACTGCCCCCTGTGCCCCTCCCTCCCCTGCAAATTAATCTAAACGGTTAGAATTTTCAGATTCTGTCAGCATCTCTTGAACAGAAGACCTTGAGAATTACCTGAAGTCTTGAAAAGCTGGGCGCCACAACAAGCATTTTCTAGGATTTCTAAAATCCTTGGGTATGGAAGCTAACTCTTCCTTTAAACGAACAAACAGAACACTGTAAAGAGGAGGTATCAGGAGAACTAGACTTTCACAGGCTCTTTGATTGGCAGCAGGACTTCCATATTCTAGCTTCCTGTTTTCCTGTTAGACATTGGATTTCAGTGGTTCAACTGAAAGAGAGTAGAGACCCAAGTTCTGGCCAATGTTGATTCCAGCACTAATGGACTTTGGCACAGCGCCCTTTCAAAATGTCTGGACACAGAGGACCACAGACTGTTGATGTTTAATAATTGAAGATGAGGTTTGGGAGAACATTATGCTAATGTGGCTCTTGCATTTCCATAGGACTTTTTCACCGTGAAGAATAAATCAGTGTTACATTGCACTGTCCCCATTTTACAAATGAGAAGACCAAGGCACTGAAAAAATGCTGGACTTCACTGATGCCCTGGGTAGAAGTTCGGTAGAACCCATATGACATCTTCAGTCTTTCAAGGCTTCTCCTTTTAGCCAAGCACCTCTCTTATTCAAAACAGCTGTTAGCCAGTTAAATCATTTCACCTGAATGTTGCATGAGGTTCTCAGTACCAGCTCTTAAAGCAATTTTTTATGCCCTTCTCTGTAATAAGCCACTGTAGGTAATGTTTTCATTCGAATGAAAGTTCTCTGCGGCTCAGTCACAAAGTGATCATTTGTGGAACAAGTGCTTGAGTTCACACAGTGGTCTCATAGAACCTGGTGGGGGGGAATAACCACTTAATATTTATTAAGTGTCTACTGTGTACCGAACATTGTCAGGTTCTTCTAGACTGAGTTCTTGGAGGGCAATGACTGTGGCTTGTTGCCCTTTGCATTTCCCAGGTCTAGCAGGGTGCATAAAACATGGTAGAGGCTCAGCTAGTTCTCAAAAGAACCAAAGCAATTCCATATAAATGTAGTCCTAGACTGGAAGCACATTAGGATCTTATTCTCCTTACCTTGGATATTATTTAAGTTCACTTCTATGGATTTTGGCCACTGAAACCGAGTGTGGTTCACAGCCACTTCTCCAGGTACAAAATGGCAGGATGTGTACCATTTATTTTATTGGTTCTCCTTTAAATGTTTGGTGGGCTAAAATACATCTCATGCGCATAGAGGAGAGGGAGATACAATGGTTGTGAATAACATTCATATTGAAGCAGATATCATATCTAGGCTGATACTAAGTAACCGCACAAGAGACACAAGAGACTAAGGAATGAATTTGAGAATGTACCCAACAACTATTTGCAGCTTTGGAACCTGAAGCACAGACTGTTACGGGTTCTTGAAACTAAAGAAAGGAATTGGCTAGATTCCAAAAGAATTATTAATGGTGCTGGCAGAGTTGTAATTCATGTCTATAGAAACCAGGTTTAATTTCATTGTCTTAAGGATGGTGGTAGGGATGGAAAATATTGACTCTGAGAACTGCCCATCTTACTGTTAGATAATCTGCATATTGTTCAGTGGTTTGCTCAAGTGAATATTCCCTCCAGATCTTTGTGGAGAGCAACTTCAGAGTTTCTCCGAATTGTTGCTGATGCGGTAAAGGCACGGGCATGATCTTTGTTTGGGCTACATTTGTTACTCTCCCTTGGTTACAAGCTTTACCCTTTTACCCTGTGGATTTGGACATGGAGCAGGGAGGTTAGGACACGGTGTGTGTTATCTAGTTGGGACATGGAGAAGTGTATAAAACCAATGAGGAGACAAGCTAGTAATTTACTCCATGGTTCTTACTGATACAGAGAACAGGGAAGGGACTAGAGCAGCCAGCGCAGTCTGTCTGGAAGTAGACTTTGAAATAGCCCTTCAACATTGGCTTAGTGGGATACAGGGATGGGGCTGGGGAGAAGGAGGTGGAGGAGGACATCACGTCAGGTGAAGAGGACACATCCGTGAGGAAAAGAGAAAGAAGTGGGCCTGGCGTGTGGGAGCAGACAGACACAGGATGCTAATATTGACGATGAGGAGAGAGCAAGAGGCCACGTGAAGAAGAAACTTATCCCAACCTTCTTGGTTTGGATTTTTACTTTGCATCCTGACTTTGTATATTATTATTATTTTTTTAATTGAGCAATTTTTTTAAATGTTTATTTATCTTTGAGAGAGAAAGAGCATGGGCAGGGGAGGGGCAGAGAGACAGAGAATCCCAAGCAGGCTCCAGGCTCTGAGCTGGCAGCACAGAGCCCGACACAGGGCTCAAACTCAAGAACTGCGAGATCATGACCTGAGCCAAAGTCGGATGCCCAACTGACTGAGCCACCCAGGTGTCCCTGGTTTTTTTATGTTTGTTTATTTTTGAGAGAGAAACAGAGCATGAGGGGGGGAGGGGCAGAGAGAGAGGGAGACACAGAATCCAAAACCGGCTCCAGGCTCTGAGCTGGCAGCACAGAGACCAACGCAGGGCTCGAACACACGAACCATGGGATCATGACCTGAGCTGAAGTCAGATGCTCAACTGACCAAGAGCCCAACTTTGTATATTCTTAAGCAAGCGAAATGACCTGGAGTCTATAGTCTAAGAAGCTTGGATTTTACTGAAGTCTGGACTGCAGGATGAGGAGGTTGGAGTAAAGACCACTTGCTTGGAGGTTTTCATAATAATCTGGGTGTAAGTGTTGACATCAGAGTGGATCAGAAAAACATCATAGGCGCACATAGACCTTAGAAGATTGAAGAGAAGGGAAGACTAATCAATTCAACACAGTTTTAAGCATTTGATGGTTTTGGCGTAACTGTTCTTTGGTAGGAGACTGGAGTCATTAACAGAAATAGGGAATTTGGAGGGAAAGGACAATTTCTGGGTTAGGGGGTGGGAGGTTTTACTTTGTGGCATGTGATGTAGTACCTGGACCTCTGAGTCGAGGTGTCCTGTAAACATTCATCAGGGACTGGGCTGTCCCTAGAGCCAAACTGACTCAGTGGACATGTGCCTCTCATGCTAAGGACAGAATTTGGTTCAAAACTCTACACTAACTTGTTCCATCTGTGTTTTTGAAAACTGTATTGTCTTTTGCCTGTTAGGTCATTATTGTTCTTTAGATAGAAGCTTTTACATTCCACTGATGTTTAACCCCCTGGCCCTAGAGATGTTTGTTTATTATGCACCTGCTGTTGTTAGTCACTGTGGCAATAGGTTGTTAACCACTTAAAGCCAGGAGGGCTGCTGGTGGAATTCCACTCTGCACACGCTCAGCTCCTGAACTCCAGGTATATGCCTCCAACTAACTGCCTAATATCAGCATTTCTCGCTGGCTCCTCAGACTCGCCTCATCTAAAACTGAGTCCCTTAGGTGTCTCTTCCCAGACTTATTTTCATCTTCGTTTCCTTCTCTTTCCAGTCTCCCCTGGGTTCCTTGCAACCCCCGGCTCCCGCACTCACCTCTCACTGGCCTCCCTGCCCCTAGGCTTATCTCATTCTAGGAGATCTTCCGTGGGCTGTGGTTACCTTTAACAAACACAGACCAGCTTGTGTCACTCTTCTGGATAGAGTATTTTTACTGGTTTCAAGTTGGCCTGTAGGAGTTTGAAGTGTGTAGAAGACCAAAGGTTGCCCTTGCTGCGTGACTCCAGCCACTTCCCAGTAGAGCGCTGTTTTCCCCTATGTCCACTGATAAACGCTCCCCTTTCTCCTCTCATTGGTGAACTACTCAGCCTGCGGGCCATAGTTCTGAGGGCCGCTTTGCTTACACAGCCCACCCCAGCTCTACCACAGGGCATTGTGTATCTTGGCCTGTCCACTATTAGCATGGGAGCCCTTCGAAGGCATGAGCTGTGATCCTTCATCTTTTGACACTTTCCCACTGTGGTGATCTTTGTTTTTAACGTGCTATAATTACCTGGACCTGTGGTTGGAAAGGCTACAGTGAAACACTCCGTGTGGCAAAACTTTCTCAAGCCCGTGCTGTGTCTCAGCCACTTCTATCTTGCTGGTTGTAGAGTACACAGTTCCTTCAGAAAGTGGTTTGGCAGACATGCATCACTTAGAACCAATAATAGGAAAAAACATTATGCTAGGACATGTTTATTACATTGTCCTTTATAATAACAAATATTATTGGGATGTCTAGTGACAAGGAAAGAGTTAAATTTGACATCCAAGGAATGGCCTGTTACATAAAAAGAATGCTTTCTAAGTGTGAATAACTCAAGAAATGTTAAGTAGAAAAAAAAATCAATATCCAAAATTCTTAGATGATGTGACCACAAGTATATAAAAAGTTCAAAGGAAAAAAAAGTGAGAGAAATACTAAGATTGTAAGCGTCGAGGAGAGTTCTGAATAATGTTTTCATATTGTGGTATATTCTAGATGTTTGAAAATGAGTTAGTTATCGGATAAAGGGTTGTTATCCAAAATCTATACAGGACTTATCCAACTCAACACCAAAAAAAAAAAAAAAAAAAAAAAAAAAAAAAACCACCCCAAATAATTCAGTGAAGAAATGAGATGGGCAGAAGACATGCAGAGACACCTTTCAAAGAAGACATTCAGATGGCTAACAGACACATGAAAAAATGCTCAACATCACTCATCATCAGGGAAATACAAATCAAAACCATGGTGAGATACCACCTCATGCCTGGCAAGATGGCTAAAAGTAACAACTCAGGCAACAACAGATGTGGGCAAGGAGGAGGAACCCTTTTGCCCTGTGGGTGGGAATGCAAACTGGTGCAGCTACTCTGGAAAATAGTATGGAGGTTGCTGAAAAAATTAAAAATAGAACTACCCTATGACCCAGCAACTGACTACTAGGTATTTATCTAAAAGATACAAAAATGCTGAATCGAAGGAGCACATGCACCCCAGTGTTTATAGCAGCACTATCAACAATGGCCAAATTATGGAAAGAGTTCACATGTCCCTTGACTGATGAATGGATAAAGATGTGGTATACACACACACACACACATATACAGTAGAACATTACTCAGCAATCAAAAAGAATGAAATCTTGCTATTTGCACAACGTGGATGGAACTAGAGTGCATTATGCTAAGTGAAATAAAACAGAGAAAGACATATCATATGATTTCACTCATATGTGGAATTTAAGAACCTAAACAGATGAACATAAGGGAAGGGAAGGAAAAATAAGATAAAAAGAGGGAGGCAAACCATAAGAAACTCTTAAATACAGAGAATAAACTGAGGGTTGATTGGGTTGGGGGGATGGGCTAAATGGGTGAAGGGCATTAAGGCGGACACTTGTTGGGATGAGCACTGGGTGTTGTATGTGAGTGATGAATCACTGGGTTCTACTCCTGAAACCGACACTACAGTGTATGTTAACTAACTTGAACTTAAATAAACAAATTTTAAAAAATAAAATGAATGTCACTTAATGATAGTGACAACAGCATCAGCAAAAGAAGCTAACTAGATGCTTCTCTGCTTTTTTGGATATTACGTCTTAAAAATTTCTGGTTTCCCCCCCCTACAGTTTGAAGATCTGAACACAGTTGCTGAGTGTCTGTTTTCTCTGGTCAATGGTGATGACATGTTTGCGACCTTTGCTCAAATACAGCAGAAGAGCATCTTGGTGTGGCTGTTCAGTCGCCTGTATTTATATTCCTTCATCAGTCTTTTTATATATATGATCCTCAGCCTGTTCATTGCACTTATTACAGATTCTTATGATACCATCAAGGTAAGTAATCTTTGCTGCCAAAAAATGACTACAAATTCTATCTGGATTGGAACGTAGGAAAATACTACACTTTTTACTTAAAATAGGACAATAGTATTTTGATTTTGAGACTTTGTGGAAAAGAAACTTTTTAGGTGTTGGAAGTTAATTTTATTTTTTATTTTTATTTTTTTAATGTTTTATTTTTGAGACAGAGAGAGAGAGAGACAGAGTATGTGTGGGGGAGGGGCAGAGAGAGAGGGAGACATAGAATCTGAAGCAGGCTTCAAGCTCTGAGCTGTCAGCACAGAGCCTGATGCAGGGCTTGAACTCACAAACTGTGAAATCATGACCTGAGCCGAAGTCGGATGCTTAACTGACTGAGCCACCCAGGTGCCCCAATTTTATTTTATTTTTTAAAGTTTATTTCCTTATTTGAAGAGAGATACAGAGAGAGTGCAAGTGGGGGAGGGGCACACAGAGGTGGGGACAGAGGATCCGAAGCAGGCTCTGTGCTAACAGCAGAAAGCCCGATGTAGGGCTCAGGCTCATGAACCGTGAGATCATGAGCTGAGCTGAAGTCAGAAGCTTAACTGACTGAGCCACCCAGGTGCCCCTGGAAGTTAATTTTAAGTATACATTTAGGGCATTGTCCCTGTTGCCCTGACCAGGGTGGGTGGGTTTAGAAGTATGCTGGAAGAGAGAAAGGAAGTGGGTCGGGATGGGCCGAGCATGGTAAATCACATAGTTGGGCTGTCCGTGTTGGCAATGGCAGGTACAGGTGTACCTGCCTGTTCTGGAACTTGAGCTTTTGAATAAGTTTGAGTGATGAGGGATGACTGCTGTCGTGACAGCCTGTCCAGATATGGACACACTGCTAACACGGCATGACATAACCATGTGTGTGGTGCGAATTTCCTTTAAATCATGAAAACTGAGCCTTTTGTGACTGCTGAGCGTCCTAGCTTCTGAAGCCGTCCTGTGGGTTCTGTATCCTTTCAAACTGGACCTGTTTAACTGAGTTGTAGCTTGAAGCGAGCTCTGTGCTGCCTAGTGTGGCCGCACCTCCACAGCAGATGGTTGTGCTTGGAAAATTCTGTTTCAGGACCAGGGGTTCATGTCAGTGCCTTGGGGTTTTGTCCTCTTCCTAAGCCCTTCTCAGACTAATTCGGAAGAGGACAGTCTATTGGAAATGCTTCTGAGCACTCTGAGTATGGCGAGCTGAGCGCTCCCGTGGGAATGGTTGTTTGGCTGTAGCAGCAGGGCTGGGCATGGAGACAGGAACTGCGTACTCCTGCCCTGTGGGTTCCTGTCTTTGACGCGGCAGTGCCCCTGCCCCAGTGAGCGGGCCAAGCCCCAGTGACTTCAGTAAGCATGAGGTAAGTGGGAAGACCCCTCTGCCTTCTGCCCCACTAAGTGACCAATTTCTACAAAAGTAGAGAAAATAGGGCACCTGGCTGGCTCAGTCGTTTAAATGTCGGACTCTTGATCTCGGCCCAGGTCGTGATCTCGTGGTTCATGAGTTTGAGACCCGTGTCGGGCTCTGTGCTGTTAGCATCGAGCCTCCTTGGGATTCTGTCTCTCCCTCTCCGCACCACCCCCACTTGTGTGCTGTCTCTCAAAATAAATAAATAAATAAACTAAAAAATAAAATAAAGAGGAAATAGGGATTACTTCCCTGAGGGGGAAGTAATTGGCAGTGAGAGAAAGGGGAGGTCTTATCTGGTCTTAACATTAAAATTTTAGACTTTTGACTATTTCCTTCATTCCCTTTATTAACACACCCCTCCCTTGCCCAGCCATGGCTTTCTTTCTGGGGTTTTTGGATTGTTTTCCGTTCCCATGGTGGCCCTGGCTTAGCTTTCTGGGACTGACAGATTGATGCCTCACTGTTAATATCAGTTCTTGGATCGGAGCTAGCAATGTGGGAGAGTTTTATTTTAGCAAAGGTGGGTTTGATGTGTTGACAGAGGGAGCCATTTCTCATGCTCTGCAAATAAGGTAACAACATTATGTACTTTTTAAAGAAATACCAACAGAATGGATTTCCTGAAACGGACCTTCAGGAATTCCTGAAGGAGTGTGGTAGCAAAGAGAAGTATCAGAAAGAGGCCTCACCCTTCTTGTCCTGCATCTGCTGCCTGAGGAGGTCAGTATTGTGTTTAATCAGGTCTCCATGCTCCTGAGGTAATCTTCTCTGTGGCCTTAACAACGGGTTCTTCCAAGGTTTACCCTATTCTCAGAGATCAGCTTGTTGTGGGAAATAATTCATCTTTCATTTTCTTTCCTCCCACTGAAACTGGCTTTAGAAATGAATTGTTTCTTTTTTTTTTATGTTTTTTTTTTCAACGTTTATTTATTTTTGGGACAGAGAGAGACAGAGCATGAACGGGGGAGGGGCAGAGAGAGAGGGAGACACAGAATCGGAAACAGGCTCCAGGCTCTGAGCCATCAGCCCAGAGCCCGACGCGGGGCTCGAACTCACGGACCGCGAGATCGTGACCTGGCTGAAGTCGGACGCCCAACCGACTGCGCCACCCAGGCGCCCCAGAAATGAATTGTTTCTTACAAAACAGGGTAGAAAGCTACATGACGCGGTTGAAATCTCTAGGGAATATTATGAGCCCCTAACGAGAAGGCCTGAGTTATGTCCGCTAACGTCAAGAAGGTGAACTCTGAGGTGGCCAAAGTAAGAGGTCAAAACTCTTATTTTTAGGAGTGGAGCTCTAGGAATGTCCATGGCCTTTCCCTTTCCACAGTATTTGGTATAAATAACCTTTCTTGAGCTGAGCAGAGAACCTGCTTGAGAGGAGGCTGTGCATAGCTTTGGTTGGGAACACATATCAGTAGCTCTACATCGACCAACTGTGCTTTGCTGGCATTCGGCAGGACACTTATGCAAATGGTCTACACCTCAGTGGCAAAGCATCCACTTAGTGGTTTGGGGAACTAAAATAGGGGTCACATGAGGATAGTTTTCTTAATTGTGCCCTTATTTATTTTCCTCTGTAGTCACAGGTGGGGTTGTTGACTGAAAATATCCCCTACCCATGTTTTTCGAGAAGAAATCTCTAAATCAAATTCCTGAAGGGAGATGGAAGAACATAATTGCTACTTTAAACCACAGGATGTATTTTCTGTTAATCGATTCATACCGCATCTTGGGATTTGAAATGATATGAGTGAGCGTTTCCAAAGAATGTCTGGTAAATATGAAATGAAGTCTTCTGAGAAAAGTTCAGTTTTTTAAAATCACATTTCTTCCTCTCAGAGCATTAAATTGTTGCCATGGAAGCTGGGATAAAGGGAAATTAATTTTCTTAATAGGCAGTGGCTTCCTAAGAGGCACCTTATGTAAGGAAAGTCTCTCAAAGTTGTTTTTTCCAATGTGTATTTAACTGTAAAGAAAAAATCATCATTAGAGAATGTAATTGTGAATTCTGGAAAGTAACCGAAAAGTTTTTGGTATTTGATTTTTGGACTTTGGTGTGCATCACAAAAGCCACAGGAGGATGTTAAATGTTTTCTTGTGCAGCCACATGGAATGAGCAAAAGGTTTAAGGGAGGGACTAGAAAACGTCTTGGTCGGATTGGGTCTGAGAACTGAGAAGAAGAATCAATATCAGCAGACGATCCACTGTATGGCATGCAAGGGGCTGTTGAGAAGATGCCTGCTTCACAGGAGGGTCTGCTCATCATGACAAACGAAAGAATTCAGTGGACTGAGGGAGTCTACCAAGGAAGTCAGCTGAAGAACTAAAATGTTGAAAGTTTTGAAAAAAGAGGCTATCAAAAATAAAAACAGAAGTGGTTGTTACCAAAGATGGTCATGGGTGAAGTCAGCTGGAGAAGTTTTAGTTGAATAATCAGATCAAAGCTTGCTCTGATTGGACCCCAGGCCAATTGGGATGGACCCTACAGAGAGTAAACGAAGGTCACGGGACTGATGCCGGAAATGGATGGTCCTGGGGCCATGAGAATAAGTGATGACTTTGACTCCATCAAAAAGTACACCTGGAGGTGTTTAAAGGTTAGGAACCTAAGAATGGTAGAAATTGAGGAAGGCCATAAAGGGAGAGTAAATATTAGAGAGAGACCTCACTGAGGGAATGTGGGGAGTAAGGACATCGCAAATATTGGTGTCTAGGTCCCCTTTCTGGTGCCTATCACTGACACCCCCAACTGACAGCTCCGTCTCCTGCAGAACACAGATGGGGGTCACTTTTTTAATCAAACAGGTCCAGCAACCACAATAGACTGATTTTCCTTCAAATTGTTGACAGAGTCTCTGGACTGATCATCAGAACACCTGGCTTTCTGTTTTGGACCCTTCTGGTTACCAAATGTGTCCCATGATTTCTCCTTAACCTCTTGGTCCTTCCAGTGCCATCAGAGTACAACAGATGACCTCTGAAACCAGGTCTCATGTGATGTGATTCTTTGGAAAGCTATACCTGGTTGGACAAATATAGAATTAAGCTTTCCCCTTCTCCACTGCCGCAAAGGGGAAAATCTGTTGTAGCCATTGAGTAGCCAATTGTAGCCATATGTTGTTGTCATGTGACAAAGCCATTGCTTTGTCAATGAAAGGAGACGCAGGGTCCTTTTACATGGACAACTCCTCAGAATTGCCAAAAGCATCTAGTCAAACCAAAAATAATGTACATTGACCTTCTTACCTTTTCTTCTTCTTATATGTCGAACTCAATGTGTCTATAACCTATGCATGCCTGACTGCAGAGTATTCCTATTCCATCCCACAGATTCTGAAATTATTGTTTTCTCTTTCCTCCTTCCCCTTTCTGATACAGGAAAGGAAGTGATGACCACTTGGTACTTATGAACTAAAATCTTCCTGCTAAAGATAATCAAGTTTCAGGCCTCTTTACCCTGTGACAATGCAGAGGGCCCCAAACAGCTCGGACCAGCACTTCCAAAAATACTGACTTATTTAATTGTGGAGCAGGAAAGAGGACTGTTAGCTGGTTGAACACAACTGAAATTCCAAAGTTCCTTTTATAAACTTGGATGATGAAGCATAGACCACGGTCAACTACTGGGCATTAGTGCAATGGAGCAGTGATAATGAAATTCTGCGTTGAACTTTTAACTTATGACATCACAATGTTGGGATGGAAAAAAAAAAAAATCACATTTCAAAGTGTGCCAAAACTATGGCACCTAAAGCCATGCATTGAAAGAGATGTGTTAATCATTCAGTAAGGGTTTGTTTTAAAAGTGATTTGGGATTAGAAGACATTTGTTAATTCATGGTGTGTACAGAAATGAAGTTGGTTCCAACACTCAGTTAGAAATTGCAAGGTGGAGAACTATTAAGCCAATTAAAGAACACACTTAAATCAACAAAAAGACCATCTTGGCCTGTCTTCCTATGTTTGTTTGTTTTCCAGCATGACAGGAAGCAACTGTTGGCAGGGTGGGATGAACCATGGGGTTCAGTGGGATGAACTGGAAACAGTCATTTGTACACCTTGTCGCTTGTGCTGCTTGTTGATTATACATACATGACATGGAAGTGAAGGGTAGCAATGGTCACTCATTTTAACAACTGAACTCCACTATGGTGGCAATTTGCCCTTGTCAAGCAAGGAAAGATGGTATTTTTTTTTTTCCCAAATAAATTTATTTTTATCACAACAAGTGGAGCTACTGCTTGCTTTTTTTTTTTTTTTTTTTTTTTTTTAATGTAGTATTTCTTAATATCTACCTAGCGCAAAATTCAGATCACATCTCTATGACCTATCTGGTCTCCGGAAGGGGTTTCTCACTTTCTTAAAAGCAATGAAGGAGGTATAGGGGTTAGTATATAGAAGTTACCCGATAAATATTTATGATAATAACTTGAGATTAAGATTACTTCATGTATGGATTTATTTTGTACTTTTGTATTTTAAATTTATTAGAGAAGCACAGAATTGGAATCAAGCAGAACCCTCATCCCAATGCTCTCCCTCTTTTTTCCCTGCCCTTCCCTGTCAAGCCCCTACCGGAGTTTCTTTCTCATACCCCTTTTCTCTCCCCTTGTCCCCACATTTTCTTCATGTGCCTGCGCCAAACCTAGCCCAGGAAAATCATTCACTTAATACCATTAAAACTTGCAGATAAATGACTCCTGTCTATACACAGAATACTTTGCTAAAATGACCATCTTAGTTCTTCCAAAAAATGTCAAGAGTTATGTTCGTCTTTTGAACTAAGGATTATTTCACTGGCGCTTCCAGGGTCATTCCCAACACTCCCGAATCAGGTGTGCAATCCAATCACTTACTTACTTCTGAGTATACCCCCAGTATTTGGTTTGTCTCTGAATAGAATTGCTGTTAAAGCCCTTCTGTAATCTGCAGCTGTGACTACCATTTGAATAGAAGATTAATGATGGTCTTTCATGCTTGCATTTTCTTTTATTGGCTTTCATGTTTCCTTTTATTTCTTTTCTCCCTAGCTGGACAAAACACTTTCAGGGAGAAAAATCTTTCTCAAGGTTACCCTATATCTGTGGAAACATTGTTTTCTCTCTTTTTACTAATTGTAAACAATTGTCATTTCACCAACTGTATTATCTGTTTGGGGTTTTTTGAACAATGTTGTTCTTGTAACTCTGCTTAATGGACACACCTGGGACAAACCATTTTCTCTTCTACCTAGGCCTCTACTTGGAGAGTGCACCGTGAAAGGTAGGAGACATGTTCTTTCTGGTTTTGCTGGTTTCGTTCCGGGATCTCCAACTTACTAGAATGTACCCTGTTGGCTTGCAGTGCACCCCCGAAGCCAGAGACAACAGCCCTGAGCTTGTTGACTTGGGGTGGTAGAGAAGGGCATGGGCATGGGAGCCACCTGGACAGACTCAGGTGAAAGTCCAAGCTTACCCTGTAGCCTTGTGGCCTTGGGCAAGTTACTTTCTGCTTCTAAATGATGATGATACACCTCAACTGTGGGATTCGCATGTAAGTCAGGTAGCTCGGGCAAACTTGGCATTGACCTGGCATCGAATTGAAACCTGAGCTGTTCTTTCCTTTTGATTTTTCTGTCACGTTTATAAGTAGGTTCCATGGGACTAGGGAATAGTAAAGATTTAGTCTACATCCCTTCTTCCTGGACTCCTGTTCTCCTACTGAGTCTCCTTGGACGGATCATACAGGGCTTCAGTTTCCTCATCTGTAAAATGGGGACTGTGCGGATTGAGTGAGTGAAATATGAAGTGTATAGAACTCGGCATGACTCGGGAGTGCATGGTAAATAGTAGATCTTTAAGAAGCTTTTCCTAGCATAGTCTACAAATGTACAGATCTATTTACCTGGGCTGGCTGGGAAAATATTTTGTAGTGAGCTTACTATACACTTTTGGTGGACTTTGTTCCAGTTAGGGCTCTAAGTGTGTAAATATCCCATATGCAGCCATGTGCTAGAGGCAATGATCAATTCAGCAGCTGTCAGAACTCACAGTTGTGCAGAAGTGGAGCAGATGAGCAACCTAAATGCCCTTCCATCGGGGGCGAAGCTGTCAGTCCCGATGGAGGGTTAAAGTCACTGAGATGCACAAGCTATCACAAACCTCCAGTGCCTTCACTCTCAGCGAGCCCTTCTGTCCTCTGCTAGGAGCCCACTGCCCTAACCAAATTTTTCAGAAGGTGCGAAGTATAGGCTAGCTTGCTTCTAGGCCACCATGGAGGACGTGGGATGGCAAATGCAAAAGGGTGAGAGAAGGTTTTTCAGAGAAGCTCTTCAGGAGATTCCAGTCACTGCCCCCAAACCCTGCTGAGGGCCCATATCATAACAAGGGTGGGAGGGCCCCTTGGCTGTGGGGAGGCCTACGCTCAGAATCTCAGGTTGAGGAGAAGCACGGCACCCCAGCTTCTCACCTTAGGGACAAATAGCCAGTCACCTTCCAGTGCCTGAGGGCCTCCTGTAAAAGTGGCCCAGCACTGTCACTGATGGTCAGGGGCCCCGGAGTCACTAGGGAAGTATGTTCGGTGAACTGCTACTGTGGTCTCGGCCATGGATGGCTCCTGCCAGTATGAAGACCTGTGATGTTTAAAGATACGACTCCGGTTCCCTGAATAATTCACCTGGGGCCGCCACTTTCACAGGAACTTTGGATGACTCAACCTCACTTTACTACTAATCAGTTTCACCTTTATTTTCATTAAGTTGAGCAAACTTTATTTTGCTCCTCCTCACTTAAAGTTTGGACTCTCACCCATAACGCTGAGTCTCTCTACCAAGTCCAGAAGTTCACACTACTTGTAAAACATACATGAAGCAGCTCTTGCGGGACAGAGTGATTGAGGACCTCACAGATGAACCCCCAAGCGTGGTGTTCAGACATTAGGCCCTTAAGCGAGGACAGTGAACTACAGGCATGGGAAAGGGAACATGATGCAGTGAGTTGGAGCAAATGCTGAACACTTCTGCTTTCCCGTTCCTTCCACTTGAGATACTTGATACTCATGCTATGCAGCTTTGTGGCTGTGTGACCTATGCATTCACAAAGGACCCCACACCTGGCTTCATGCTTCGCCCTCACAGTCTTGCAATTCTTAATGCTTTTCGAACAGCCCCCCCACCAAGTCATGTAGTAAATTCTCATGGTAGTACAGTGTAACTCATTGATGATCTCAGTGATTAAAGCATGGCCTTTTAGACAAAGGCTAGGAGCCCAGTGTCATACTTAGTTTATAAAACAATTGAAATTTTACAAAAGGAAAGAGTGAACCTGAGTTGGAGTGGCTTTTACACTGATGTGAGTGATAATCTAGTTGTATTTGTGGGATGAGGTGAGCTTAGGGTCCTCCACTCTACCATCTTCCCCAGAAGTCTCTAAAGTAGCTTTTTTTTTTTTTTTTAAACTAGGTCCATACCCAACATGGATCTTGAACTCACAACCCTGAGATCAAGAGTTGGATACTCTAATGACGGAGACAGCCAGGCATTCCTAGAGTGGTGATTTTTTTTTTTTTTTTGAGTTTATGCATTTTGAGAGAGAGAGCATGTGCAAGAGCACACACGAGCAGGGGAGAGGTGGAGAGGGAAAGACAGAATCCCAAACAGGCGTTGAATCACCAGCACAGAGTTCTGCATGGGGCTCGATCTCACAAACCGTGAGATCATGACCTGAGCCAAAACCAAGAGTCAGATGTTTAACTGACTGAGTGGCTCTGGCCTACTGCTTATCTCACAAAGATGGAGATTAAACTTCTGTAGTTGGTGATGTTGGTCAAGGTTGTTTCCATGTTGCATTGGTGGGTTGGATGCTGGGCTGCTCACCTTTCTCCCCATGCCTCATTTTCTTATCTCCATTTCATGTTTTTCCATTGACAGAGTCAGGGTAGTTCATCCTCTAAACTCAAGTTATGTTTGCCCAGTTACCATATGTCCTGTGACCTTGCCCAGCAAAGTCCCGTGGGACCTGCTCCACATACTAAGCAATCAGATGCTCCCTCCAAGCTCTTTGCAGCCATTTGCTGTTAGAATGAAGGGCCTGTCTTTGAATGAGAAGCTGTAGGATTGTTAAACATGCTGTGTGTTGGAGAAAATAACATATTAGCACTGGGAAGACATCAAGATGGACCAAATCTCAAAATAGACGTTCAAGTTGTTAGGGAAAACAATACAACTTATGGCTGTTCTACCATGGGCTCATTTATAGCAAATGCTGCTGCAAACCAGTGGGTAAAAATGGTGGCAAATGTCTCTCTTGCCATCTGTCTCTGCCAGAGAACCAGGGAGTGAATGAGAAGCTAAATTAGTCACATACAACATTTCCACACCATCTTGTATAACAAGGACAGCAAAACTCTGACTTCTTAAAGACCCCTGGGAGCTATTGGCTGTGGTGAATG